CTTTAGGTTATAAGGTGTGTGGGTCGTGGTCTGGGTCGATTTTAAGGTTAGGAGGGTGGTTCAGTTTTAGGGTTAGGTGGGTGACGGCTCTTGGTGGTTTTAGGGTTAGGTAGGTGGGTCGGTTAGGGTGAATGGGTTTGGGTCAAGGTCAGTTAGGGTTAGGGTTAGGGTGGTGGGGGCTGCTGGCGATGGTGGTTTTTTTAAAGCTTTTTTTATTAGTGGCGATGGTGGCTGGTGGCGCAACGTGGTTTTCTTTTTAATTTTTTTTAGGATTTTCCGACGAATTTTCCGGCGGAAAACAGTCCGTCTGAAATTTTCGACAAACTTTCCGGGCCGAAGAATCTTGTCCGACGACTAAAATTCCATCGGAAAAAGTCGTTTTTCCTACAAAACCTTTTCCGAGAACCGCTTTCGATGGAATTTCCGTCAAAAACGAGTTTTCCGATGGAAAACGGGGTTTTTCCGTCGGAAGTAGCCTGTTTTCTAGTATTATATTTATTTCTTATACTACCTCTGTTTCATATTTTTTGCAACTTTGGAATATTTTATATCTCACAAATAATATCCAAAATTGCAAAAATAAGAAATGGAGTTGGTATATAAATCACAAACATTAGTTAAAGTAGGACAAATGAATAGTGCACAAAGTAGAAATGGAGCAGTATTTAAAAACGGAGGGAGTAGATTATTAAATTTTTTATTTTTAAAAAATATCATCAAACTTGAGTAACAAATTAAATTCTTGCCTAGGTATAGGGTAATACATGTCATACTTTTTAATTTCGATATACATATTTGTGATTTTATATGCATTTATACTTGGATATACAACATTATTAGATTCATAAAATTTAATATTCGTGCTTCACATTATAATCATTACTTGTCATTTTCTCCTTTTCAAAAGCTCTGTTAGCAAATTTACAAAACACATCACACACAATGTATATCTTTCTTTGCTTGTTCATACCATCATATCGTACTAAAGCTCCTCGAAAAAAATAAATAAATAATCATTACGAGTATTGTGTAAATTTTGTAAAATTTTGGCGAAATTTATAAGATATTTTTCAATATGAGTTAACTGTAGGGTTAGATTGGTAGGATTAATGCCAACTTCTAGTGGGTGTGACAAGTCCACAACTAGTAAAATCTATGAAGTTGCAAGAAGGGTTCCACACTTCCACCGCCTTTAGCGAGCAAATACAAAAATGCACAAACCGCTTGACCGCCTTAGACTAGTGAGATTGAGCATTATATGTTTTAGAAATCCAGGAGTCATATTGCCTAAGCTAAGCCTAATATTTTTACAGTTCTGTACAAATAATTTAAAGATTTCATAGAAATCAAAATAGAAAGTTTTTATATCAAACTCAGCTGTGTAGTAAACTAGTAATACTCTTCAAAATACATAATATGAACGGATTAGTATTACCATCCTAGCCAAATATAGTCAAATGTTACCACCCAAGCCAGTATGCTCAATTAAATGTTGCCGCCCAAACCATCATGCTTGATTAGACATATCACTACATGATATGGTCTATTAAGCCAATATTGTTCATACAAGACATTATAAAATCCTACATTATCATAGGGAAATAACACACAACTGAGTACGATATTTAAAATTCTCTATTTTAATTCAGTAAATCTCTGTTACTCACTGTGAGAAACAATTTGTTTCTCACAATGGCAGTTTCATAAATAAAATGTACCACTGTGACTAAAGTGGTACAATTTTATCATCCATTTCGTAAATAAAATGTACCACCGTAACTAAAGTGGTACATTTTATTTACAAAACTGCCACTATGAGAAACAATTTTGTTTCTTGCAATGAGTAATGGGGGTGCCCTCATTTTAATCTCTTCGAAATCCTTCATATTAAAACACATTATCAGCATTAGTTGGCTCATATTACCAAATAGGTGGTTTTGCTTTTTCAAATTTAACTCCCAGATTACTCATTACTAAAAAATGAAACACCAAAATATGTAATGGGATCAATACTTTTTTGAATAGTGTATCCTTTTTTCGAGTATATATTATATAATAGAGTGAAATATCATACCTTGTGGTATAATTTAATCACCACGAGGGACTACAAATCAGCCTCAAAGCGCTAGTTTAAACACCTGAGAAGCCGTCAAAATCCCACAAGTTGTCCCTAACCTTAATGATAATAACCCTACAGAATCACAAACCAAAACCGAAGTCGAATTGCGATGGCTGATTAGTCGCCATGACAATGTTTACTATGAACTGCGGTGGTGGTATCATCGTCATCCCTTACTCTCTTATTAGTATTTGGTGGGTGGACTTCAATTCGATTTTGATTGGTGCAACTGGAGGGTTGTCAACTTGTCATTAAGATTAGGGACAACTAAAAATTGGATGAATAAAAAAAATGGTGATGATACTATTTTATATCAAAAGTAAAGAAATATATTTTTTTTCTTGAAGAAAAATAAGTCAATTTTAAACTACATAATCATTATAAACATTATAATAGTCATATTTCAATCGACAACTATAAAATTTTCACAATCTTTGACGGCCATACCAATCTGTTCGTATTATGCATTTTGATGCTTATTACAACAAAGTGTAGCCGTGTATGCGTGAGAGTTTTATGAGCAAGATTAATTGATTAATGCTTGTCCGTCAAATTTAAGAGTGTGTCCAGTTGTCCACATATGTTGGGTATCCCATAATCATGAGGGTATTTTCTCAAAAAAAAAATGAGGGTATAGTAAAATAACCTTGTATTCACTATACCATGTGTGCACATCAACGTTCAACAGTCAACTCCACTCACCCAACTGCACGCTTCTAGACACCCTACCAAGCCACCGTTGTCACCATTGCCGTCATGTCTGCCCACAATCCCCTAACTAGCACAATCGCAACTGAGGTTCTATTGAATTCACGTAATCACATTATTTTCACTTATTTCAGGTTTAATAATCTAGATAGTATAAGTTCAAATAAAATTTTATCTTGCTATTACAAGGTATATACATTTCCTCCGTTTCTTTCTAGATATATCACTTTCTAAATAAAGAAGTTTCAATTTAGATGTATGACTTTCCTTTTTAACTAATTAATTTTCTCTATATATTATTATTCTAACTATTATCAGGAACAAGCTAACCGGTTCAATTCAAGCAAGCTTTGGATCATTCAACACCAATGTCAGTCTCCTACTATATGATAACCAGTTATCCGGTCCAATTCCGAAGTCATTGGGTCAGGCAAAGCTCTCAAAACTAAGAATCTCAAATAACCAACTCTCAGGCTATGCATCTTTCTTGTTTGGGATCGATAAGCCAGAACTCACTGATGTATCACTAAGGAATAACAAGTTTAAGTTTGATTTTAGCAATGTGGACTTGTTCCAAGGTCTAAGAAATCTTGACATTGCTCATAACATGTAAGGATCACTTCTGAAACGACTCGGCCAACTCCCGTTGTAGTCGACTGATGTGAGCTATAACAAACTTTGTGGCAAGGTCCCAACAGGACGACATAAAGACGTTTAGCCCTTCCCTCTTTGCCTACAACAAATGTCTATGTGGTGCTCCTTTACCCCCTTGTAAATAATCCTATAGGTGATTTGGTTAGCAATTTGAGTGAATGAGTTGTGTTTGTGTTTAAATATATTTGGATTTGCCCTTGAATAAGGTCTTGGGCCTCAAGAATAAGCCCAATTTATATTAGATGGGCTCCCTTTATGTTTTTTTTTTTTGGTGCAACCCCTTTGAATTTGTGATTGTATATTTGTATGTTTGTTTTATAATTTAACATTATCAATATTTTTTTTTTATTTTTTTTTTAACATTATTAATATACCTCCTCTAAATTTTATTTACTTTTTTTAAGTGCTGCAATACTATAAATGACCTCCTATATACTCCCTCTGTCCCTTTATTTTTGCCCCATTTGACTGTGCGCGATTTTCAAAACACGTGTTAAAACGTTTATATCTCCATTTTCATACGCGTAAAAATTATTGAAAGTTGATATTTATAAATTTATAATAAGATGAACCAAACAAGATCTCACATGACTATATTTCATTTAGTAAAACAACGGGAATTTGTAGTCAAAGTTTTCTAAGTTTGACTCATATTGTAGCAATGGAGCTAAAAGATAGGGATGGAGGGATTCATTTCCCTAGGATCGAGCGATAGGGTGCCTGTTAAGAATTGCCCGAGTTTCCAGACACATCGCACTTCCGCTCGGGTCTTCCCTCTCCCTATTGGATGAAAGCAAGGTAACCAGCGATGTGTACTCCTGGTTGTGAAAGAGAGGGCGGACCGGGATCCCGTTCTTACTTTTGTACTATTTTTTTTTTCACATCATTTACTTTTAAATTACATATTCATGTACTTTCTACTTTACTGTTTTTGTTTGGTTGACAATTTTTGTTTAATCAAGCTTGCTAACAAATAGTATTAATGAATTAATATCTCTAATTATCAATATTGTAAAATTATAAAAAGTAAATATTGATAAAATTTACATTGAGACAATTCAAACAAGATCTCACTTGATTATGTTTATTTTGTGATTTATAAATCACAAAAGTTAGTCAAAATATAGTTTGTGAATTGTACAACTGTCAAACCGTGTCAATTAAAAACTGGAGAAAAATACATATTGTTTGAACCAATATATATAATCATGCTTTAAAATCTTGTGATGTCAAGAAGTATTTCCTTTGTTTCATGAAGATTAAATAATGTTCATGAATGAAATATATAACTTTGTTTGTGTTTAGTAATTACAACTCCGTATTGATTTGTATTAAAGTAAAACAATGTCACGTGGATTCTAGTTGGATGCTTGGTAATTTTTATTGTTAAAATGTCAAATGTTTATAATATTTATGTATGAAGTACTTGTACATATTAAAATGGAGGCAAGTAGTGGAAAAACATAAAAATAAAATTAGGACAAAAAAATTGAGACCGACGTAGTAATATTCACCATAATTTATTGAAATTTTCAACTATATAAATCTAAAAATCAAATCAATGGATGATAATATACAAATAAAGCTCCGGAGCCGCCATTATTGAAGCATATGGAAGACGAAATTCACCAAATTAAATAAATTCACATATCAAAATTAATAAACAAATAATCAAGATTATCTTCCTAAACCGGTTCACTTGCAAGCCGGGAGCGGACCGCCACAAAGGCACTTGTTATTTTCAAAAGAATCAGCCCCAAACCGGGTCAACCATTTTCCGGTCGGAACCGGTCCACAAAGCTGGTTGTAGCTCACATTAAAAACCTGCAAAGGCAACTGAGAAAGTTGTCTAGGTAGTGAACCATAAATCATGTTATGGCTAACATCAAGACCTTGTAACCTTGAGTTAAATACCACGTTAGAGAAGTCAAATGAGAATGCATTGTTTCTCAAGTATATTAAAATTAGTTTTGGATTTCTAAATAAAAATGAAGCATCCCCTATGAACTGGTTGTTTGAAAGGTCTAGCCAGCTAAACCCGGCTTGGCTCAATGATTTTGGGATTGGACCGGAGAGGTTATTATCGCTGACTTGTAAGGCTAGGTTTTTAAATGAACTGAAGCTCTCGGGGATTGAACCGGAGAGCTGGTTTTTTTGTAGGGTGAGTTTTTGGAGATTGGGGATACGAGATAGAGATGCGGGGATTAAACCGTTGAATTTGTTCTCTGATAAGTCAAGGATATTTAGTTTTTTAAGCCGGTATAGGGATTGTGGGATTGAACCGGTTAAGTTAGTTCGAAAAAACTCGAGGTCTTGAAGGTTAACAAGGTTTGAAATAGACGAGGGAATGAGCCCAGTTAAACCAGGCATATCATTAAAGTAAAGGACCTCAAGACCGGTCAGCTGACCGACAATTGGAGGAATCTGCCCGATGAGCTCGTTGTTCTGACCGATGGTTAGGTACTTAACCCGATTAGTTTGGTTATCACACCCAACGTTGTACCAAGTCTTACAACAATCAGTGTTGGGCTGCCATGAGGAGAAAAAAGTGGTGTTTGGGCCTAAATGGGCTTTAATTTCAAGAAGGGCATTTTTGTCATTTGGGTGGCAGAGTTCAGCTGCCAGAGAAAGAGTGAGCAAAGAGGAGGTGGTGATGAGAAGAGAGAATAGAAAGAGAGAGATTTTCAATTGAGATTTCATTTTGTGTTGTTTTGTATGAATGTCAAAAGTTTGTTTTTTTTTTGAGTTGGTGTATAATGTATTTTGGTTGTGGAATTTATAGGCATTCATTTTGTAGTTTGGGATTACGTATTTTGACTGAAATGTGATTAAAGAATTAGTCAATTAACATAAACAAATAAGGATATGGCTTTTTCTTGGTCAAATTGGTGTTCTCCCAACTTCCCAAGTAGTTTCCATCTAGATTCAATATTATTTATCGGATAATATAAGTATGCTTTGTATATTACTAGATTTTAGAATTGCATGCATGAAGTGTCATGCTTTTAAAAATGCACCATATATCTCCACCATCAGAATCGTCTTATACCTTTTGGAGACATGTTGTTACCAATGTTACGAATCAGTACGTGATATTGTGCTACTTAAATTAAAATACTCGCTTCATTTTATATTTTGATCTCAAATACTTTTGTGATTCTTTCGTCAAATTTTTTACTTATCAAATTAAAAAATATTGGAAATTATGTACGGAGTAAGAAATCATTCATTTTATTATTTCTATATTTTTTTGTAATTTCAATTATTAATTTTAGAGGACTTTATTGGTAGATTGATTATACACCAACAAAAAAAAAAGGAAGATTAGTTTGTGACAACGTAAATATTGATAAGGTGAAGATTTTACAAGAAATTATTAATTTTAATATTTTTATTTTTAAAAATGAAAAAAGACCAACTCAACTACCATATATTCCGCTAATATTACTCAATTAATAAATAAAAAGTTACACTTAACGGAATTTCAGATTTTGGGGCCCCAAAAGTTTTGAGGCCCTGTGTTGTTGAGCTATTTGCATAGCCCAATAGCCGATCATGTCCACCGTTTATGGTAATATTATCCCTAATAGTAAACCAAAACCAAAAGGTGTTAAGATTATGCTTAGCAGCTTAGGGTACATAAATGGACTAAGTAATTCTCTAATCTTCCACCTTAACCAGTTATAAGAAACAATCAATAGTAGACAGAAGTAGTTCCAGATTTTGGATTTTGGGAAAATTGTTCGAAGTTGACAAATCCATCCTTTACTTATTTTAACGAGCCCTTGTTGTGATGGCTCCAAAGTCTCTTCAATTTTGAGTCAAAAAATACGAGAAAAAATGGTCAAATTAATACACCACATAAGTCATCATACGTTCTCTAATTATTTAGAATAATGTGAAAAAAGAAAACGTGTCATTTCTCAAAAAACACAAATATCTTAAATTAAATGGAAAATAGTAATAATTCAACCAAAATGTGCCTTTTCATAAAAAAGATGTCAACTAATTAATAGGTTATTTCACTAATAGCTGGTTTATGACCTTAATGTCCACTGTTGGTTTGAGAGCAAGAAAGTAATGAGTCATGTACAAGCTATAGATAAAGCTGAAATAATTTTGCAATAAGTCAAGGTAATTTACAGTTGAAATCCATAGAAGAATAAAGTAGAAGAGAATAAAGAGGCTTGAAGAATAAAACCTCTTTTAAGCTAAGTTTGTCCTGTATTTTTAATTTTTTTCTGCATGCAGCGCTTTAACCTCCATACCCTCCTTTCCTGCACCTTCCTTCACCTTAGCTACCGCCTGAAGCTAAACGCCCTATTTGCTGTTATTATGGTGGAAAGCAGAATTGGGATGTTAATTTAACAAGTACAAACATATTTATGAAGGTATTTTAACATGTTATTAGAATCAGTGTGACACAAAGATCACGGGTTCAAATCTCATCAACTCCTCACTTTCAAGTAAAATATTTCACGCAGGGTATGCGAAGGGCACATGTTGTATCCACATAAACAATGAAAACTATAAAGATAACATACTTCATAATAGGGGGAGAAAACGAAAGAAATAGAAACATCTTATGACATCACTTACATTAGGATTTCTGCCTCAATTCATAGGCTTTGATAATTCGATTTTAGAATCATTTCAAAATATTACGCTGCTTTTTATATTTAGTAAATTAAATTAAGCTTTTATATTCTGTACTTCTTTTTACGAGTTTAAATGACATGTATAAAGATTTAAAGAGACTACTAGTTGCTACGACAGATAGTGAAAGATAGTTGTGATATTTCAACTCAATTTCTTAAATTTGATCCCTAGAGATAAAACGTGGAATATAATATTAAAGGGCAGAGAGATCGAGCATGTATGTTATGGTACCTTGTTCTGTTCTTGATTAGCTAAATTCTGTAATATTAAGGGTCAAACAATTCCTATAAAAGAAAGCTACTGTCTTATTAACACTTGCAACAACAAAATCCTTTTTTCCTTGTCATTCACCATTTACTCTAAAACCACTCTTTTCTGTAAAACTTTACATTTAATTAATCTTGCCTTTCTTTTGTGATAAGGGCTTTTTGATATTCCAAAATCCAAAAGGACCACGAGCTCGGGAAAGCAGAGCAAAAGACTAAAAGGGAATATATACCTGCTAATGCAAAAGGTGAATGCCAACAAAGCTGTGTAAAAATGAGTAGTCAATCATGTATTAGCTTAGAATATAGCCATTAAATCACATCTTTTACATACAGAAAGCTTCCTATAGCACCTTGATCACCCCAAATTAAGAAGTCAACAATGAAATTTTATAAACTTATATAGCCTAAACCATGAAAATCCCTGCCTCAAGCAGCTTCTGACATCCTGTTCTTCTGTGAACACGTCGAAACCAGCAGAGTGATTCTAACTCAAATTTGTAAGCATGTCAGACAAAAAAGGCTCACCTCCGAACCCTGATGATTTCAAGTTAAAAGACACAAAGCCCCAGCTTGGGGAGCGATGGCCACATGGAGGAGTTCGAGGTGGGCATGGATGGATTGGAGGTGACAGGACATCAAGCACCTACGACCTTGTTGAGCAGATGAACTACCTGTATGTTCATGTAGTTCGTGCCAAAGATCTTCCAGTTAACCCTGTAACGGGGAGCTGTGACCCGTATGTAGAGGTCAAGTTGGGGAACTACAAGGGTAAAACGAAGCACTTTGAGAACAAAATCAATCCTGAGTGGAAACAAGTCTTCGCGTTTTCAAAGGAGAAGATACAATCCACTGTCCTTGAAGTCTATGTTAGAGACAGGGAGATGGTGGGCAGAGATGAGTACTTAGGCAAGGTGGTGTTTGACTTGAATGAAGTCCCTACACGGGTTCCTCCTGATAGTCCTCTGGCTCCACAATGGTATAGGCTAGAGGATCGTCGAGGTGAGGTGAAGACAAGAGGAGAGGTTATGGTTGCAGTTTGGATGGGAACACAAGCTGATGAAGCTTTCCCTGAAGCTTGGCATACAGAGGCTGCTTCAGTAGTTTCAGGAGAAGGCGTTTACAACATCAGATCAAAGGTTTATGTGTCTCCCAAGTTATGGTATCTCAGAGTAAATGTGATTGAAGCACAAGATGTTGAGCCACATGATAAGAGCCAACTCCCACAGGTTTTTATCAAGGCTCAACTTGGAAACCAAATACTTAAAACTAAGGTGTGCCCGGTGAAGACTACCAACCCACTGTGGAATGAAGATCTGATCTTCGTAGCAGCAGAACCCTTTGAAGAAATGTTGGTTCTCGAACTTGTGAACAAAGCCAGCTCAAAGGATGAACTAGTGGGGAAGATAAGCTTGCCATTAAACGTCTTTGAGAAGCGACTGGATCACAAAGCGGTCCACTCACGTTGGTTCAACCTTGAGAGATTTGGGTTTGGAGCCCTGGAGGGCGATAAGAGAAATGAACTTAAATTCTCCACAAGGGTTCACCTGAGAGTCTGTCTTGAGGGGGTTACCATGTGCTCGATGAATCAACGATGTATATCAGTGATACTAGGCCAACTGCACGACAGTTGTGGAAACAGCCAATGGGGATCCTCGAGGTGGGAATCTTGAGTGCCCAAGGGCTTTCACCCATGAAGAAAAAGGAAGGAAGTAGCAGCACTGATGCATATTGTGTGGCAAAGTATGGACTAAAATGGGTTCGAACAAGAACCATCATCCAGAGCTTCAACCCTAAATGGAACGAGCAGTACTTGTGGGAAGTTTATGATCCTTGCACTGTGATCACCTTAGCAGTTTTCGACAACTGCCATCTCGGAGGAGATGACAAGAGTGCAAAAGATCCAAAGATAGGGAAGATAAGAATCCGGCTATCTACCCTAGAAACCGACAGGATTTACACCCATTCTTACCCTCTCCTTGTCCTCCAATCCTCTGGTGTTAAAAAGATGGGAGAGCTCCAACTAGCAATTCGATTCACCTGCTTATCCTTTTCAAATATGATCTATCAATACTCCCATCATTTACTCCCAAAGATGCATTATGTCCACCCTTTCACCATAAACCAATTGGACAACTTAAGATACCAAGCCATGAACATTGTGGCAGTGAGGTTAGGCAGAGCAGAACCGCCCCTCAGGAGAGAGGTCGTAGAATACATGCTAGATGTCGACTCCCATATATGGAGCATGAGAAAAAGCAAGGCCAACTTCTTCAGGATTGTCTCTGTCTTCTCAGGAATGCTCTCCATGAGCAAGTGGTTAGGCGAGGTCTGCAAATGGAAGAACCCAGTCACCACAGTTCTAGTTCACATTCTCTACTTCATCTTAATTTGCTATCCAGAACTCATCCTCCCAACTGTTTGTCTCTACATGTTTCTGATCGGTATATGGAATTACCGATACAGACCAAGATATCCTCCTCACATGGATACCAAGCTTTCATGGGCAGATGCAGCTCACCCAGATGAACTTGATGAAGAATTCGATACCTTCCCAACAACAAAGTCATCAGATATAGTTCGAATGAGATATGACAGGCTCCGAAGTATAGCAGGGAGAATACAGACAGTGCTGGGAGATATGGCAACTCAAGGAGAGAGATTTCAGGCATTATTAAGCTGGAGAGATCCTAGAGCTACCTGTCTGTTTACTTTCTTTTGCCTAATCGCAGCTATTCTACTCTATGTTACACCATTTAGGCTTCTGGCTATCTTTGCAGGCTTGTATCTCTTCCGACATCCTCGGTTCAGAAGCAAGATGCCAACAGTTCCCAACAATTTCTTCAGGAGATTACCCTCTCGAGCTGATAGCTTGCTCTGATAAAGTCACCCAACTTCATGAACTTTGGTTTGTTTTTTAAGTGTATGATCATTATCTTTAAGATTTTCATTTTTTTTTTTTCCTTCCATTATTCGTGAGTTGTAATGTATTATCTCCTCTCAGAAATTTTTACAGTCAAATCATTTTTATTCTATAGTCATGTTGCAGTAAAGAACAAAGATCTACTCAATTCACATCCAGCAATCTTTAAACCATGCCGTTTGCAGACAAAACAAAAGGGCAGCTTTGTTATTTTGCGTTCAATGTGTATTTTCAAAGTAATTAATTTTCATACACAAAATTAAGGTCAATGTATATTTTTAAAATATTCAATTTTCATACACAATATTAAGTAGGGAATACTATATAAGAGTATATCGTCCACTAACATGTCGAGCCTTAAATGGCGAAGCTTGTTTTGTTAATCTATAAATTGCAATCAAAAGAGTGCACAGCAACATCGTTAAACCCAAATATTACTTGGAAAATGCATGGAAAATATCTATGATGAAGTTCATTAACAAAGCAGATTCGTGAAAATCTGTGACAAATTTTGCTACACAGCTAGAACTGAACCAAACACAAGCTAAAGACGCAGCAAAATTGGGCAGACAAACCCAAAAGGAAGGTAATAGAGGCACATCCTAACATTCATGAAATTCCAATGGGGTGTAGCCGTGTAGGTATAACACCATTTATGAAGACACTACTCAAAAAGTGAAACAACAGGTTATGGTCAAGTATGATCAACCATACCTCTACTAGAATCTGAGCAAATCACCAATAACCAAATTTAGGAAGAGGATTAGAACAACAGAGGTCAATTAAGAAGCCTGAATCCCCTACTAAAGCATAAATTCCAAACCAAGATAATAACATGTGCCTTAGAAAGGGACTGCTGTAACTATACTAATTTCACTGAGAAATCAAAATTGAGAAATTAAAATTAAACAAGTTATCATAAAGGCATTCGCTGCATCTAACAAAATTTGAAAACTTCCACGAGGAGTTGTTATCGCACGAAAATTTGTAAACACTTGAATCATGATGAGAAACATACATCAAGAAACATAAACAGCTTAAATAATAAGATGACAAAATCTGATGTGCAAGTTACTTTCTACTCAGCTCCTCTAAAAGACAAGCTCGTGAGGTTTCATGCCTGACTTCAACGAAAACCTTGCTGCCAAATATGCCTTCAATTCAGGGACAGCTTCAATGTTCTTTGCCAATGGGGCATCAACAGCCTTCTGAGACTCTTTCTTCTCTGCTGGAAGTACATTCTTCTCCTGTAATTTAATAAACAATTCAAATGGTGAGACTACTAAACTGGAGCATATAGAACTAACTTCAAGCATGTACAAGTAAAAATAAAGGTCTCACCTCTTTCTCTGCCTCGAAGAATTCTCCTTCTCCCTTCTTTTTCTTCTGTTCACCTTGCTTGGCAAAGTATTTGTCATCGATGCTTGATACATCAACTCCAGAAACATCAACCTTAGTAGAAGTAGCAATCACATATGCTTGGTTGCATCTCCTTAGTGGGACACCATTAATCTTAAAGGGGCCTATTTGAAACAACAGAAAGCAATCGTTATTAATCAAACAATCATCTGCTACAACATCAATATGCACATCGAACTGCCTACAAACAACAAAAACTACAAAGAAAAAGGCATGACTTCAATGTAAAAAGATAGCCACACATCAGTTGGCAAGCAATTTCCCATGGTCAAGATAATCTATGCTTCCATGGAAAGATAATATCATCTTCTCACTGTCTATTTAAGTATTTGAAAAAGAAACACACAATTCATAAAATGTCCAATAGAATGTCATTGTATCATATATCACTCATTTCAAACATTATCCAAAGCAACAACTCTATTCTGGATCAATCTGCAGTAAAACATAAAAAACACAATTTCACAAGTTTGGTAAACCATGTTTATTGCAACAAAAACCTATTTCCTTTTACAGCTCAAGAGCACAATATAAGGCTCTAGTCTCAAAGTCTATGATACACCATCAGCTTGGGCAAACACAGATACAACAAGTCACGATCCATCTGCCTAAAAGCCTCCTATTAATTTGTAAAAGAAATGAACTAGTCTCTAACTTACAAATTTACAGTGATTGCATTGAACTTTGAAGAACTACATCCAGATTGTTGTATAAACTTTACAAAAGGGGGAGCACAAACCCAATTGTCTGTAGTCCAAATCAATTCCTTTTTTTGGAACCAGCCTATTTAAACACTAGCTACCATGAAGGAAGATTCCCAGATCATGGATTGAATATAAGTAAAAGGAAACAGCTTTACCCTTGATAACAAATTTCAGTCAAAGACTCACAGGTGAAATTCTTATGTCAGCTGAATTGAGATTATATATGAGCAGTATGTATTCAGACTACTGCTATACACAGGTTTTAAGACAAAGCGAAGACTACAGAACAATAAGAACATACTGCCATAGAAACCTGTCATTCTTTTCAGTACCAGCTGCAGTTTAATCACATCAATAACCCTGTTACCTACTACGCTAACTACTATTAATTCACTGTGAATCAAAGAGAAATGACATGCTCCATATGAGAAACAAGACCACAACAACAAAATGAAGTATAACCATGTTTATTTCACAAATTTGAACATGACTAAAAGGCATAATATATACTCCTACACTACATAACACACTGCATTCCACTTTCAGCCAAATACCAAGGCACAATTTTGACAGATTATGCAAATAAAACCATTGAAAATTAATGACAGAACAATCCCCAATGCGAAACATTTCCAAAATCAGTTACCATTAACATAATCCTAAACCCTCAAACCAAAGCCTCAGCAGAATTCCCAAACTGATAGTAAGATACATAACCGTTCGCTGCCATAAAAAACAAGGCCTCTACCCAGTATACACAACCAATCCGATACTACACCGACAATAAATTAAAGACATAACAATCACAGTGCAAACCATTTCCAAAATCAATTTTCATAAAGTATTATCCTAAACTCTAAACGCCAAGCATCAAAACTAAAATCAAACTTATATTGAAGGATGTCAGGATAGTTCGAAACCCGAATATCTATACGTAGCTACAAACTAAAGTTATCACTAGTCCATCACGCTAACAACACTATAAAATACATCATACACTGTCATTAATCATCAGTAAAACAATTTTACAAAAATTACATTTTGGGTTTACACATAGATCCAATATTCAAATTCAAAAAAAAAACAATAAAGAAATTAATTTTAAAGGATTGAAATAAAGCTCACCAGTAATGAGAAGTAACCCAGATGAAAGTTGCTTCAAAAACACAACTCTCTTCCCCTTAAACCTTCCAGCCAACACAATCAACACTGTCCCTGGTGTAATACTCGCCCTACAATTCCACCCACAAAATAAAACAATGAAAAATTAATTTTCAAAATCAAAAAAAAAAAAAAAAAATCTGCATTTACATTAATTTATAAGCCCGATTAAGAAAAAATGAATTACCTAAGTTTGGCGGCTTTGGGTTTGCGCTTGTTAATTAAGGGCTTCTTAACATCGTCAGCAGGGTAAAACTTGGAGGTCTTCTCAGCCGAAGCAGGAGCAGCTGCTTTAGGAGCGTGAGTAGGGAAAACGCCGCCGTTTTTGGCCTTAATAGCCCAAAGACCCCTCTTATGGTACATCTTAGATCGGCTGAATTTGCCGATTCCCCTAACAAGATCTGGGTTTCTGCTGCCGGTTCTGGGTTTCGCCATTGTTGATTGAAGGAGAAGAAGTTGAGGCTGAGGGAAATGAAGGGAGAGAGATAAACCCTAGAAAATGAGTTTCTTTTTATTGTAAGGTGATATGGTTTTCGGGGGTGTTGTTAAAGGGCTCGGTTTTGGTGTTGAGGGTTTTGGGTTTTAAGGATGGTTTGTGTTTTAGGCCCAAAGTTGGGATGGCTGGGAAACGATTGTGGAGATTGTAATTTAGGTATTGAATTAGGCCCTATTTGGCAGTAGTATTTTAGGTAATTGAATAGTAATAATAAAAAACAGGTCAAATTAGAAAATAACACCCATAAAAACCTCCGATTTTGATAATAACACCAAGTAATTATTATAATACCACCAAAAATCCCAAAATTTTGGTTTCACCACCAACTAACAGATTTTTGGATGGAAACTGTTAGTGGAGCCCGCCATGTACACGTGTCAGTTGTTTATTGGTTTAAAAAAAAAAAAAAAAAAAAAACCTAACCCCTAACCCAACAAGCCCCACTACCGGCACCACCTGCCCTAGCCGCCGGAACCTCATGCCCCCACAAAAATCGGCGAACCAGCCTTATTACCACCCTATAACCGCCGACTCCACCGCTTCCTCCCTTTCCCCTACCCGAAAACCACCCTAAGCCCATCAAACCACCGCAAAAACCAACCTGACCACCGCGCACCCCCTCCTCTTTTCCTCCACCCTTGAAACGGCCCATTCGGCCATGGAAATCGACCATTTTGGGTTTCCATGCTCGATTTTGGTCGTTTGAGGGTGAAGGGTTCCCATGGTTCGTTTTCTAGGTCGATTCCATGGTCAATTTTGGTGGTTTTTTGATTGTTAGTTTTCGTGGTTTTCGGTCGTTGTCGGTTTTCATTGGTGGATGGGTGGCGTGTTTCAAGGTTGGGGCTGGGTTTCGTTGGTGGTGGCGTGTTTCAAGGATGGGGCTGGATTTCGTTGGTGGCTAGGCTTGTTTCTGGCGGTGCTGAAGGTCGGGATGGGATGGGGAGAGGGGTTGTCGGTGGCGGGTGTTAGAGTTGCCGGCGGCAGCTACGGCTGGGGCAGGTGGTGCCGGTGGGGTGGCTGGCTGGGTTAGGGGGTTAGGTTTTTTTTTTCTAATTTTTCTTTTTTTTAAAACCAATAAACAACTGACACGTGTACATGGCGGGCCCCACTAACGGTTTCCATCCAAAAATCCGTTAGTGGGTGGTGAAACCAAAATTTTGGGATTTTTGGTGGTGTTATAATTAAACTTTTTTTTTTGTGTGGTGTTATTATCAAAATCGGGGCTTTTTATGGGTGTTATTTTCTAATTTAGCCAAATAAATGTATTTGGTAAGGTAGCGTTTCATGTAGTGGTTAGTGGTAGTGATAGTGGTAGCGTTTAGGTAGCTTTTGTCAAAAGTTAAAAATATTAGTGTTTGAAAGGTAGCGAATAGCTTTTAACAAATTTTGTTTACTTTTTAAATATTGTGCATGTATTTTTTATGTATTTTAACATTTCAACCGCTATTTTTTCCAAACACTCATACTATTAACCGTTACATTGACAGCTAACCTTTACCCACTACTAACTGACAGTTACCCGCTACTCAACCGCTAAAAGCTACCCGCTACTGCTAGTTTTGCTAAACAGGACCTTAGAGGTGTCTATACCTGTATTAGTGGTGTGCAAAAAATCCAAAAAATCAAAATTCGACCAACTGAAAATGTTTGTAATCGAATCAAAATAATATTTCCTCCATTTTGATGACACAGTTTGACCTTTTGTACTATTCACATAACTTACTTTAACTTTGTTTTGTGATTTCGTATTGAGAAAAAACTTAGTTGTGGGGTCTTGTTAGATTCGTCTAAACTTCAACTTTTCAAATATCAAAATTCCATAATTTTTGCTATGTAATCAATGATACTTGCATTTGAAAGTATGCATTGACAAATGTGCCTAAATGAAATGTGCCATCTAATAAGAATGGAGGATGTAGGATGATAAGAATTGCATTTTTTTTTCTGTGTTTAAGAATTTGAATTGAAAAAAAAGAAACCGAGTAGAAGTACGCTTAATTGAATCAATCAATGTACGAATGAATTATAAAGTACTATTTTTTATTTTTTATTTTATCTTCTCTAGACTAACTAATGTTGTACTATATGGGTGTCTAGTACAAATGGTCAATGGAAAAATGAACAAGAAGAGAAAATGAACTTAAAAGAATTTCAATTTGGCGTGATTATAATTACTGACTTGAAAACGAAATCCGACGCAATTAGGGTGCACAATTGCATTCGCCGGTACATAATTAAGGATACACACACCACTCCTACACAAAAGCACTTTTGGGTGGGAGGTTGGAGACTAGTAAACTTATGTCCAAAGAGAGAAATGTGTTTTAGCTTAGTATGTTTGAAGATTCTTATAATCTAATTTTCTCAATCATGAAAATACATACTGAAAGATAGGATAATCAAGAGTTGAAGAATCCAAATAGACAAAGCCTTATCAGAATTAAGGTGAGTTAACAACCTCTTAAACATCCCATTAATTGTGGGTGTTACGAGGGAGTTACAAAGGAAGAGGAAGAGAAAAAGTCGTTAGTCTACTGTCGCACATACGCGCCTGATCGAGCGAGGTTCACCCGATCGGGTGAGGGTGATACATAATCTCAACTTACATGCGCGCCCGACTAGGCGAGTGAGGTCCACCCGACCGGGCGAACAAACGACGAAGATTAACGTTGCACTCGCCCCCGACCAGGCAAACAAATGTATCAAAAAACACTTTTACTCACGCCCGACCGGGCTAGAGTGCAACGGTCAGCTACCTTTCCTCTCTTTACTCCAACAACCCCCACTTAATTGAGAAAAAAAATAACAACAAAAGATGAGAAGCAACATATGGGCATAAGAGATGATGTAGTACATAACACTTAGATATTACATTAGTAACTTGAAATCTAATGCTTAGTGAAATGAAGCAATGAGCTACAAGCATAACGGTAGACAAACCTTGAAACTCGTACACCCTTGATCAAAGAGTAAACTAACCTTGAAACTCTAAGATTTAACTCAAGACCCCCACAACACATACATCACTCCATAATTTACATAATCTCCGCGAAAAGATGTACTCTTTATAGCCAAGTACATTCACCTTAGGTCTAGTGGAGACTCTAGAAAACCGGCCAATGTTTTCATAGAAGATGGCTAGTCTTCACAACCACATAAGTGAGTCCAATAATGTGTCTCAATAGCATAAGGACTCATTAAGAGTTAGAAACTCAACCTCACAAAATACAACAGGGGACACCACACATCCATTAAGAGTTAAACAACTCAACCTCATACATGCATTACAAACTCTATCGCAATAGGATTTAGGACAAGTGTGATGTGTCACATGGCCTTAAGTCTAATCCCTCTCGATGATTCTTCAACTTGTATTCTTGCTAACCCATTCGTCAAAGGATCCACCAATCTAAGTTCATTTCGGACCTCACAAATTCCAATGCAATCATTTCATTCTTGAGCAATTGTCTCACAACTTTGTGTCTCATACAAATAAGTCTCTTCTTGTCATTGTAGTCGCTATTGTTAGCTACTTCAATTGCCGCTTAAGATTCACAATGTAAGGACACCAGAGATGAAGTCTTCCCCCACAATGGTATGTCGGCTAGAAGATTCCTAAGCCACTTCGGTTCATGACCTACTAACTCGATCAAGATCAATCAATTCAGATTCCATGGTGGAGCGAGCTAGACATGGTTGTTTTAAGGACTTCCATGAGATTGCACCTCCACCCAAAACAAAAACATACCCACTAGTAGAAGAAACTTCATCATTATCAGTTACCCAATTAGCATCACAATAGCCATCTAAAACATTAGGAAAGCGATTAAAATTCAAACATACCTCCATGGTACCTTTAAGATACCTAAGTAACCGACGAAGAGCAATCCAATGACTTTGACTTGGATTGTGAGTATATCTACTAAGTCTACTCACTGCATAGGCAATGTCGGGTCGTGTACATTATCAGAAACATCACACTACCAATTACCTCTGCATATAGATCTTGAGATACACTAGGACCCTTGTTCTTCATTAGCTTTATGTTGGGATCATATGGAGTCTTGCTAGGCACAACATCAAAAGAGTTAAATTTCTTAATAAATTTTTCCACATAGTGAGATTGACTCATGGAGAATCCGTTCTTAGTTGTCCTTAAACGAATCCCAAGATTGACATCGGCTTCTCCCAAGTCCTTCTCAAACTTAGTAGAAAGCAACGCCTTAGCATCATTCCCAACATCAAGATTAGTACCAACAATAAGCATATTATTAACATATAAGAAAATTGTCACACATGATGAACCAAACTCCTTAGAGTACAAATAAGAATCAGAAGAATTAGTCACATAGACACAACTATTAAGAGTACTATCAAACTTTTCAAACCATTGCTTAGGAGCTTGCTAAAGACTATAAAGAGACTTTCTAAGCTTACACACTTGGTGTTCTTGTCCCTTCACCACAAAACCTTCCGATTAAGTCATATAAATTTCTTCATCAAGGTCTCCAATAAGATAAATCGCTTTAACATCCATTTGGTGAATTGAACCACTAAGTCATGAATTGCCACAAGGGCTACCTATGAGGTGGGTACCCCATTGTTAGGGATCCCATTTCCTTTATGCCCTTGGCCCTTTAAAAGCCTAGGACTTTACACTTTTTAGGGTGTATTAGGATTTGAATTCCTGACTGTTTGGGAGACCTTGAATTAGAATTTAGTTTATCATTACTTTTTTTTATAAGGAACCAATTGAGAGTCGCCAATGAGTTTTAGGAAAACTCATAAACCTCGTTTTCGCCTTTCTCCCAAGTAAAATTCAAGGGATAATTAGCATGAATCATAAGTTTACCCCATGCCCAAATTGGTCTATTAGTACCATAAATGAGTCCGGGAGCGAGGATACTAGGAAAACGTTCTTTTTGACAATGTGGTCTCTACTAGCTCTTCATTTTTCACAATTTCATTACCAAATTAAATAATATATGCAACGCGATTCCAAAAACTAAGTTAGTTGATTTTA